ACTTCAAGCTAGCTCATCCACTTCTAGTGATACTAAGATGGCTCATTGGGTTCAAGTGTTGCCAGTCTGATCCCTCCATTGTAAGTTCCCCATAAACTTTCCCCTAATGGTTTTAGCATTCACTGATAATTGTTGCCTAAATCCATTATTTCATTAGAGATTGCAAAACAGCAACTTTCTAGTTCTATCATTCCTATGGCATTTAGTATTTGGAATTCTACTTTAAATCTTCCCCGCAATACAGCTCCTACAGAAAAGGCAAGATACACGCTTGAGTCTTTCTTTTATTTATCAACCTTCAGATATTCCAATGATGATACATGAGATTTTTAGTATTATGAAATTCATGGACATATATATTTGCTGTGTCATTCTATTATAGTAATTTTCTTTGTTATGCTTAGATTTCTCCCTCTTAGGTCAGTGGGAGTTACTTCAAGTTGGCTCCTTTGTCCTTTGATCCCAATCGACTTTGATAGCTTCCTTTCTTCCTGGTGTATGAGGATGTCCCATGTTCATCTTGTGCATTTTCTGCCCCAGGCTTAGAATTACTAGTTTCTTTAAGTAATCCCCATTCTTTTCAGTAAGGAATAGTGTTTATAGATGACTCCTGAAAGCTAAGATGCTTATTGCTCATTGATTTCTTTGCTTCAAGGTCTCAGTGGACAAATCTAGAAAATGCATGCTTATTTTTTAAAAGACAGGTTTATGTTAATATTTTCAGTTAAATTACTCTTTCAGGATTTTAATTTCTTTGAATGTATTCTCACTCTTAAGCTTGAAGTCTCAGTTTCTAATGACATTAACATGATAACATATGTTTTATCTTATAATACTCACTACTGTCACAATTGTGTCAAAATAACATTAACATTATTACTAGGAATAATTAAACTTCAGAATACGGTTTACATTCAGTGGATTTTGACAAGCATATATAGTCATGTAACTACCACCATAATTAAGATATTTTTCAATATGCAATTGACCGTGACCAGACTACACACAGGAATAGAACTCTGACCCAAACTTGCAGCAGTCAGCGTGGGAAGCCAACTTAGTAGGTGCAATAACCAGTCCAGGAAGTCAAAGTACGATCTGTAACAATCAGCCTAGAAAGTCAAATAGCCTGGTCCAAGTGGCCTGGACTTGATTAATAATTGACAACTTCCTTAATTTTGGCTCCCACGTCTAACTTAGGACCTATTGGAGAAAGCCAAATATGTGCTTTTAACCAGTCATTTAAGATACCCTGCTTCCAGTCAGCCCACCTGCAGCTTTCCATGCCAACAGCCCCTTTACAGAACACACCTTGGTGCCTTCACTATTTCCTAACTTTGTACTGCGGCATGGTACTGGATTGCGCGTGGGCGCCACAGTTTATTCCATTCATCCTCCAGTGATGGACCGTTGAATTATTTGAAATACTTTGTTCTGGTAAACAATGTCACATGCCTGTGCGTGTGTCATTCTGTATCTTTGCTAAAATATCTTTGAGATTTTGAGATAGAGTCCTAGGAAAAAAATTAAATTGCTGGGTCAAAGAGTAAATGCATATGTGGTTTTGCAAGATATTGTCAAATTCCTCTCCTATAGGATTCGTACCCTATTGCATTTCTAACAACAATGAATGAGAGAGCCCGTTTTCCCACTTTCAGTAAAATATTGTTAAAGTTTGGATTTTTGCCCATCTAGTAGGTGAGAAACAGGATCACATTGTAGATTTAAATTAAATTTGTCTTACTGGGACACCTGGGTGGCTCAGTCGGTTAAGCATCTGCCCTCAGCTCAGGTCATGATCTCAGGATCCTGGGATTGAGTACCGAATTGGGATCCTTGCTCAGTGGGGAGCCTGTTTCTCCCTCTATCTGCCACTCCCCTTGCTCATGCTCTCTGTCTCTCTCTCTGACAAATAAATAAATAAAATCTTTTAAAAAATTAAAAAATAAATTTCTCTTATTATGGGCAATGTTAAGCATTCTTTCTTTCTTTTTTTCTTTCTTTCTTTTTCTTTTTTAAAGATTTTATTTATTTATTTGACAGAGATAGATCACAAGTAGGCAGAGAGGCAGACCAAGAGAGAGGGGGAAGCAGGCTCCCCGCTGAGCAGAGAGCCTGATGCAGGGCTTGATCCCAGGACCCTGAGAACATGACCTGAGCTGAAGGCAGAGGCTTAACCCACTGAGCCACCCAGGTGCCCCTAAGTATCTTTTCATATGTTTAAGTGTCATTTGCGGTTCTTCTTAATGAAATGTCTGTTTATATCATTTCCTAATTTTTCCCTAATTTTTTAGTGAATTGCTAAATTTAGCAAATTTTTAAAGAAGATTTATTTATTTTAGAGAGAAAGAAAACGGGGGGGGGCAGAGGGAGAGGGAGAGACAAACTTAAGCAGACTGTGCACTAAGCAGGGTGCCAGATGTGGGGCTCAATCCCATGACCCTGAGATCATGACCTGAGCCAAAACCAAGAGTCTGACACTAAACCAGCTGAGCCACCAAGGGGCCCAGCATTGTTGGTCTTTTTAACCCCTCAAGTTTAGGAGAACTCCATTTGTGAAAAATATTAATATGTTGTAATAATTTGCATTTTTTCTAACTTTGTCATTTGTTATTTGATTATAATATTTTTTCATGCAAAGCCTTCTTATAATTACATAGTCAAATTAATCACTTTTTTGTTCATTATTTCTGGATTTGAGTGATAGCAAACAGTTTTTCCAAGTCTCAGTTTATAAAAAATTCACTCATGTTTTCTTCTAGAAGACTTCCAGTAGACTAAATGTAGTCTTTTTTTTAAACAGCTTTATTGAGATATAATTTAAATACCATACAATTCACTCATTTAAAGTGTACAGTTCAGTGACTTTAGCATATTACATTATTATTTTTTAAATCATGGTAAAATATATATAACATTAATTTACCTTTTTCGCCATTTTGTAAATGTACAATTCAGCAGTATTAAGCGCATGCACAATGTTGTGCAGCCATGACCACCATCTGTTTCAAACTTTTTCTTCATCCCAAACAGAAACTCTGTAACCATTCAGCAACAACTCCTTCCAGCCCCTGATAACCTCTTACCTACTTTCTGTTTCTGAATTTGCCTAGTCTAGATATTTCATGTAAGTAGAATCATATAATATTTGTTCTTTTGTGTCTGATATTTCACTTAGCATATTTTCAACGTTCATCCATATTTTAGTATGAATCAGAACATCATTGTTTTTTACAGCAGAAAAATATTCCACTGTATGCATAGACCACATCTCCATTCATCTGTTTATGGATACTTGGTGTGTTTCCATCTTTTGGCTGTTGTGATTAATGCTGCAAAGAACATTGGTACTATATGCTGACTAACATAATATATATATATATGTATATATACATATATATATAAAGAACATTGGTGTGCAAACATCTATTCAAGCCTCCTGCTTTCAAATCCTTTGAGTATACAGGTAGGAGTGGAATTGCTGGGTCATTTGGCAATTTGGTGTTTAGCTTTTTGAGGAAATGTGAAACTGTTTTCTGCAGTGAATGTACCATTTTACATTCCCACCAACAACATATAAGGACTCCAATCCTCCACATCTTGGATAATACTTGTTATTTTCTGGTTTTGTTTTTGCTTTTAAAGCCATCCTAGTAGGTGTGAAGTGGTATCTCATTGTGGCTTTAACTTGTATTTCCCTGTGACTAAAGATGTTGAATATCTTTTTTTTTTTAAGATTTTTATTTATTTGACAGATAGATCACAAGTAGGCAGAGAGGCAGGCAGAGAGAGAGAGGAGGAGGCAGGCTCCCTGCTGAGCAGAGAGCCCGATAGGAGGCTCGATCCCAGGACCCTGGGATCATGACTTGAGCTGAAGGCAGAGGCTTTAACCACTGAGCCACCCAGGCGCCCCTGAATATCTTTTCTTGAGCTTATTGTTTATCTTCTTTGGAGAAATGTCTACTTGAGTCATTTTTGAATTGGGTTGTTTGTCTTTTTAGGTATATGACTTGAAAATATTTTCCCCCACTTTTTGTAGGTTTGTTTTTCACCTTCTTGATACTGTCCTTTGATACAAAAGCAGTTTTGATGAAGTCTAATTTATTTGTTCTTTTGTTGCCCATACTTTGGATTTCATAAGACTCTGTTGCCAAATCCAAGGTCTTGAAGATTTACCACTATATTTTCTCCTAGGAATTTTATGGTGTCAGGTCTTACATTTAAGTCTTTAACCCATTTTAAGTTGATTTTTATATATGGTGTAAGATGGGGGCTTCATTCCTTTACTTGGGGATATCCAGTTGTCCCAGCCCAATTTGGTGAAGAGATTATTTTCCCCTTTGAATGAACTTGGCACCCCTGTCAAAAATTGGTTGATCACTGGTGTTTGGATTTATTTCTGAATTCTCAATTCTATCCCACTGGTGTATATGGCTATCTTTATGCCAGTACCACACTGTTTTGATTACTGTAGTTTTGTAGTAAGTTTTGAAATTGGAAGATATGAGTCCTTCAGCTTTGTACTTCCGTTTCAAGATCGTGTGGCTGTTCAGACCCCCTTGCAATTCCATATGATTCTGAGGATTGCCTTTTCCAGTTCTGCTAAAAGTGTTTTTGGAATTTTAATAGAGATTGCATTGGATCTGTAGATTGCTTTGGGTAGTACAGACATCTTGATGATATTAATTCTTCCAATCCATGAACACAGATGTCTTTCCATTTGTTCAGGCCTTTCAAGATACTTCTTGATACTTTTTAGCAGAATACAAATGTAGGCAAAACCATCCAGATCCTTCCTAAGTTACTAAGAAACACACAGGGAAAAGTCCTAAATGTTGAATGATTGCATCAAAACATATTTCACTGCATTCAAAAAGCATCATTTTATTTTCATATTAATAAGAGTCACTGATGAAGGGAAAAAACAAAATCACAACTATCGATATTTACCTAGGGAACCATTTTCATGGAACACTGATGGAGGAACATGGGCTACATCTTCAGAGTGGCAGGGGACACAGGGACAAGCACACTAGATTGAAAGCATAAAAGCATATTCTCATAAGAACCAAGCAATCCTTGTTGTTGGAGGACCAAATGGAATCATCATTAATGTAAGTAGAATCAAAGTTCACAATCTGTAGGTCCTTCCTAAGATAGGCATGATTCAGCTTATTTACAGTTCGAGCAAAGGCATATTTAGAAGCACAACTGTATGCTTCTAAGCTGTACACTTTCTTGAAATGCAGATCAAAAAATGGATTGTCCTAGAAGAAAAAGAGAGGCATGATTAAGCTTGTCGCCAGGAAAGTAGCTAGATTTCCTGGAGATTCTCTCATATTCTCTTACATATGCTTATTGATCCTAAAATGTCAGTATCAAACATATTCCTAAAATCTACAAATGAGCTTTCCAAAGCTATCTGGTTTAAACATATTGCTTCTAAAGAGAACAATAATACAGAAGATTATTTTCTGAAGCCTCTGTGATTTTTCAGTGATTCAAATAAAACATGTCTCAAGATGCAGAGTTACCAACTCTTCCCACAGTAGTAAGTTTGAGAGGATAAGTAGGGGTGGAAAAAGAGAATAAAAAGATTTCTCCTTTCCTTTATTAGGAGATTGGCTCCTTGTGATATTCCAGTGGTAGAAGGGGGTAATATAAGATGGCAAGATTAGTTTTGCCATGCTACAGATCACCAGCTTGCTGACTTTGAAGTTAATAGCAAGGAATTATCTTTGAAGTTAATAGCTGGGATCATTAAATCATTTGACTGAAACTGTCAAATTACTTAAGACTGCCTCTATTGATTCCTCCTGGCTGTTGCCATACATCTAGCGGAGGTGTTCTGAGAAAAAGTGGACACCGAATCTCATCTAGGTCCTATATGTTAAAATAATCATTGCTGTTACTAAGAGCAGTAACAACAATGCCTTGCAATTATAAAATGCTTTTCCATTACAAAATGCTTCCACATTCATTAACTGTCTAACCCCTAACTCTTTTTGAGGTCAGAGGTTTTGAATTATTTATCTCTGTGTTCCTAGTGCTTATCCATGGCAACTACTAAGTTCTCAACAAATGTGTGTTGAACGGATCAGAAGTAGTCCTATAAAAAGACAGGAGGAGTAAGTGTTGCCCTAAATGACAAGGAGGTAGAGAGAGACCAAACCAGACTATTAATAATTTGTTACCATGTAGTGTATAAACATTATACAGAAATAGCTTATGCATTTGCAATTTCTCTTTTAAATAAGAAAATTCTTGTGGGAGGCAGGAGAAAGAACATGAGTTTTGAAGTTAGATAACCATTTCAAATCTCTGATGTAACCATGGGCAAAATATTTACCTGATCTGACCTTCAGTTTTCTCCTCATTTTAGAAAAAGTTACTATGAAATTTATATGAGATTAATTATAAAAACTGCATGTGTAGGGTGTAATAAATAATAGCTCTTTTTTCCCCCTAATCTTCCCCCATAGATTGTGATACTGGTGTAAATGCTACTTTGCTTCCTACCATTAAATTAAAAAAAAAAAAACCCAATGCTTTCAAACAAGATTGTACAAAAGTGATGTGATTTTTAAACACAGTGTTCCCTTGAGCCACACCTTGCAAAAAGTTTCCTGGCTGTCATAATTTCAGCTTGAAAGACACTTCTGCAGGAAATCCCAATAAAAGGAAATCACTCCCATTCTATCACCATACTAATCATGTTCTTTATATAGTTTTCTCACCGGAACATTTGTTCCTTATCCTGTAGATAATATCCGTATGCCTTTGAGATACTCAGAGATTACTTTTCTCCTTTAGCCTAATAACTGAAGCCGGAGGAGGCATGCACATGGAATACAAGTACCTCCTTCCCTCTCTTTCTCTCTCTTCTCTTGTTCTTTCTTCCCATACAATCCTAGAGCTAGCAGGGGATCTCATGGATCACTCAGTGACCTCTTGTTTATGGCTGGGATGATAGTTTCCAGAGAGGTGGAGCCCAGGTCACACATGTAGTTGTTGGCAGAGTCAGGATAAGAACCAAGATCTCAATCAACCCAGCCCAATGTTTTGTTACACCACCCGTCCTCCTGGTATACCACATCACTCTCCAAATCCCCAGTCCTTTTGATTTCTGCATTATAGACTGACTTCAATTTCAATTCCATTTCACTTTAAAGTTGATAACTCTCTGGCTCAAAACTGTTCTATTTAAAACCGTATCATTGTTGTTGAGAAAAATATAATAAATGCTGACTTCTGAGGATTCAATTCCGAAAGAGAGGAGACATAGAAATTCCCAGAACATCTGGGATATTTTCATTTCATCCACAGAAACCAAATCTTTGAAAAAAATGCTCTTTGAATATGATAAGGGTTTTTTTTTTTTTTTTAATTCCTGGCAGTTTAGTATTTTAGGTCCTAAAGTTTTAGGTGAGAAAATAAGAAATACTCAACTTTTCTTTTGTATCTAGTTCATGATGATCTTCCACGGGAAAGGGAAGAATCAACAAGGTTGGGATGGAATCAAGGCCAGAAGGTAAGGAAGAAATAGACCACAGCGAGCTATTTCCAGGGAATCTACATTGACAGCCTTGCTGAATACAACCTCAGGCACTGACCAAGCTTGTAGAAAATCATTATGACACCAGTAATATTTGAGAACTTGAGAGAAAACTAAGAAAAGAAAAATGGCCCAAAAAAGAGACAGGGATGGTTAAGTCATGAAACTAGATCAGTGAACTTGACATCGATTTCTTTTTTTTTTATTTTTAAAGATTTTTATTTATTTATTGAGAGAGAGGCAGTGAGAGAGAGCATGAGTGAAGAAGGTCAGAGGGAGATGCAGACTCCCTGTGGAGCTGGGAGCCTGATGCGGGACTCGATCCCGGGGCTCCAGGATCATGACCTGAGCCGAAGGCAGTTGTCCAACCAACGGAGCCACCCAGGCATCCCTCGATTTCTTTTTTTTAAATGTTTTTAATTTATTAAACAGCACAGTAAGAGAGAGTGTGAGAGAGAGCATGAGTAGGGGGTGGAGGGGGGAAAGAGAATCTTAAGGAGGCTCCACACCCAGTGCAGAGCCTGATGCAGGGCTCAATCTCACACCCTGAGATCATGACCTGAGCTGAAATCAAGAGTCAGATGCTTAACCAACTGAGCTACCCAGGAGCCCCTTGATATTGATTTCTGATAAAATTCAATGCAGTATAGAAATTTTGACAAGTACATGAAAGTGTAAAGAAGAAATAATAATTTAAAAATATGTAATCCTGGGGCACCTGGGTGGCTCAGTGGGTTAAGCCTCTGTCTTCAGCTCTGGTCATGATCTTAGGGTCCTGGGATTAAACCCCACATTGGGCTCTTTGCTCAGCAGGGAGCCTGCTCCCCACACCCCACCCTTGCCCCGCCTGCCTCTCTGCCTACTTGCGATCTCTCTGTGTCAAATAAATAAATGAAATCTTTAAAAAAATATGAAATTCCATCACACAGAGGTAATTATTGTTAAAATACTTATTTCTTTCATCTATACATATACATGTGTAAATATGTATACCTGTATGTATTTTTTGTAATTGAATTTAAGTTTCAGATATTAGTTTTCAATAATATGAAATATTCTAAATATGCAAAATGAGATAATAGCAAAAAAACCTTTGTATTTGGCTGACTTTTAAAAAACTTATTAAAATTTGGCTCAGATGGTTGGGCGTCTGCCTTTGGCTCAGGTCCTGGTCTCCAGGTACTGGGATGGAGTCCCACATCAGGCTCTCTGCTTAGCAAGGAGTCTGCTTCTCCCTCTCTGTCTGCCTCTCCCCCTACTTGTATTCTCATTCTCTCTCTCTCAGGTGAATGGATAAAATCTTTAAAACAAACAAACAAACAAACAAAAAAAGCTTATTAAGTGGTGAACAACTGTGTTCTGAGCCATTCTTGCAGAAACATCATTTTTAATGACATGTGACATTCCATCATATAGATATGCTATAATAATTATTTCCTAAGTGTCTGAAACTTTAAGTTGAATATATTATCAGAAAAATGTTATGTGAGTACAGGAAAAAAAAAAAAAAAAAAAAAAAAACAATGATATCCAGCATGCTTTGGCCAAGAAGTTATGCCAAACATACCAAATTTTTAAATAGGATTGATTCCTAGGTGATGTCAAGATAATGGCAGATAGCATATATTGATTTCAGTAAAGATCATAATGGCAAAATTCAGGCATTCAGACCAGATAATTAAGTAAATAAGTAAGTAAGGTAGAATTAAGTGCTTATGTCTGTCCATTTTACCACTGTATCTTCAGAGCCTAGCACAATTTGGTATACCACAAATTCTAAATGAATGAATGAATGAATGAATGAATATATGAACTTGTAAAGATGTTAAACAAGCAGTCCAAAGAAGGCAAATTAATAGATTTTTGGGCAAAGTCCAACTCCATCACTGAATAGCTTTGTGACCTTGGGCAAGTCAATTAATCTCTTTGAGTTCTGTTTTCCTCATCTGTAAATTGGAAGTAATAACAGAATCTAATTCTATAGGGTTTTGTGATGATTATGTGAAATTATATATGAAAAGAGCTTCATGGGTTCCTGGTATCTGGTAAGAGTTCAACTAAATGTGAGATGGTATCAGGGAGAGATATTACAAGTGGTGGTAATAGTAACCTAACAATTACCTAGAGGTTACCCAAATGGCATTTAGCTCTGCCTGCTTCATCATTTTTATTATTGATTTGAATCAAGTCCTACATATTGTGTTCATTGAATCTGCATCATAATACAGTGAATATTAAAAAAAATCAGGTGTTAAAAGATTTGATAGGTGGGAATAATAGGCCAAACTAAGAATATGGTATTCACTAGGATTAAGAACAAATGCACTGCCATGAATAAAACTGGAGGGGATTACGCTAAGTGAAATAAGTCAGGCAGAGAAAGACAATTATAATATGGTTTCACTCATATGTGGAACATAAGGAATAGCGTGGAGGACCACAGGGGAAGAGAGAGAAAACTGAATGGGAAGAAATCAGAGAGGGAGACAAATCATGAGAGACTCTGGACTCCAGGAAGCAAACTGAGGGTTACAGAAGGAAGGGGCGGATGGGGGGATAGGGTAACCAGGTGATGGGCATTAAGGAGGGCACATGCGGTGATGAGCACTGGGTGTTATATGCAACTAATGAATCGTTCAACACTACATAAAAAATTAATGATGTACTATATCTTAGCTAATTGAACATAATAATAAAAAAAGAATAAAAAAGCTTAAATTGATCCAACAAAACCACCAACACTTATTGAATGCTTACTATCTACAAGGCAGAAGACTATGATAAAAGATGAAAAGTCATGGTCTCAGTTTTTTAGGGGGTTTCCATCCAGAAGAGAGACAGAGTAAGCCAACAATTGCAGTTTGTAGAATTATGTCTGTAACTTACATGCAAAATGCAATGGGGGTTTTGGGGAAGGAAAACATGAGTACGACGTTATCCAATGGGGAATCTGGGAATGGGGTGAGAGATGGAGGTGACTGGGCATTTTAAACCTCAAGAATCAGTAGTTAAGCACTGTGGATTTGTATAGTTTAAGGGGGAATGACCAGAAATAAAGAAGCCAGATCCCAAGAGCCCTAATTTAAATTTTATTCTATGTAAGTAGAGGCTATGGCAGATCACGTTAAATGGTAATTCAGGCACAAAAGACCTGAGGTTTCAGGTAAGTGTTTAATAGAAATAAAGAATTTAGATCATAGGAAATACAAACTAGTCACACTAATTCTAAACTATTGTATTTAATTCTGAAAAGCTGGAGCATTCCAGGGGAGAGAAAAAGGTGGAGGGAGGGTGTTGAAGCAATGTCATCAGAAAGAAATCACAAGTAAGCTACTACCTCTTAGCATTTGTATTGTCCCATCATATTACCTTATTTGATCCTCATATGAAAGTTATTTAAAGAATGAAATGGGTACATTTAACCTAGAAAAGAGAAACCTTGAGGGAATATTATAATCATCTTCAAATATTGGAAAGCCTGCTATGTGAAAGGAGGATTGGATTTTTCCTAAATCGCTCTGAATGGCAAAACCAGGACTGATGGCTGGATGTTAGGAGTGAAGTAAATTTTTGGTTAAACATAGCAGGAAATTTAAAAATAAAGTATGGTGATTCAGAAGTTGAATGGACTTCCTTACATGATAAGGAGTTCCCCATCAGTGGATGAGTTCAAGAGAAGAGTGAGAAAATCACGTGTTAAGTGGTCCTGTGGAGACATTTGCATATACACCCTCTCCCCCGCTTTCAACTCTAAGGTTGTAGGATTTCCAAGAGTTAATAGTTTCTGGAGGTTCAAGTGGTTAAGGAACAGCAGTTTGAAGAAGATGAGGAAGGAATCCCCAACATTTAATGGAGGAACTTGGGGTGGGGAGAGGGTGATGGTGGAAGCATCATATAAAGTTTTAGGATTGACTGGTAGATCATGTTTAACCTGTTAAGAACCCCTTGAGAAAGATGCTTTTAAATTTAAAAGACGAAAATTCAAACTTCAGCTCAGAAAAATGGAACAACAACAACAAAAAATCCAGTGGATTATCCCAGCAGAAAAACCTATAGCACTTAAGAACACTATGTCATCTTAACACTTAGTATATGCCAAGAATAATATGAAGTAGGATATTGAACGTAAAGATTTCTAGCATATTGATCCCACATCTCCCTTGCAAAACATAACACTTACGGTATCTGCTTCTTTTCCATCAATCATCTGCAGATCGTTCAAAGACCACTTTTTTGTTACTTCATATTTTTCATCTAAACCTATTCTGTAGTGTTTCACCATAATTATTTTTACTTCTTCATTTTTGGTCACTGGAGGGCAGAAAAACATTTAGTTTACATGAACTCTTAGAAGGTAATAAATTATTCATCAAGTTATACTTTTTACACTTTTCAGTATTTATATATCTCCTTTTCATAGAACCAAGTTTGAGGCTTCATTATATCTGTACCCCACTGATGAACCCTGATGTATCTGAACCTTCATGAGTACGCCCCCTAATTTGCTCCATATGTTAACTTATTTTTTGCTACAACTGTGGTTACATACTGCTGTGGTAATGTCAGTCAGATGGAGCACTGAGCTATGTGCTTTCAGCTATGAGCTTTGGGGTGGAGAATGGGGTTCGACTCATGACAGGAAATAAGAGAGTTAGCATACAGTCAGTGCCAAAGTATTTACCAGAACAAATTAGAATTTTAATTTATGACAATATGGAAAGTGAGGTCAGGAAAGCAAACAGTTCTGCTCACACAGCAACACAGTGTTGAAGAGTGACCATACGAACACACTGCATGCTTTCTTTTAAAGTCGCTGTAAGATTTTTGATGTAGAAGTGCTTGGATTGCAGCTGCTGTTGGCCTGTTTGGTATTGTTTGAGACTTTTAATCTTCTTTAGAATGTCTCCAAATTTTAGCATTCAAAGTGTGCCATCAAGACAAAAAGCTTTAGTACTATACCTTAAAAAGCATGCGAAAAATCATTGCTTATTTGATGTGAACAAAATGAGGGAAATAATTTCCTGGACTTAAAATCTTTGGTCTCATCTGAACACATCAGAAGAATCAACATTTGATGTTGGAGCTCCTGGATTGAAAATGATCAATGAATTAATAAAGAAGTATTTACTGAGAATCTGCTATTTACCTGATAGAGCTATTACAGATGCCAAAAGGGATACACGTATGAGACATGGTCCCTGCCTTCTAGAAACTGTGGGCTTGTTGAAGAGACTATTCTAATACATGTGAGTCACATGAAATACATAATGATGGTATATAATGGTATATAGGTATATTATAAAGAGGTTGGGGTGGGAATTGAATATCTGAAAGCCTCTTTCCAGACGGATGATGTCACTTCGAGAGTTGCAAACTGGTTCTGTCCCCTAAGAGTGAGGTTGGAATTTGTCTTTAAGGAACTTTCTTTTGGTTCTGGAAAGTGCTACTTTGGCATATCCTCTTGGTTAAGAAGGTATAAAGCAATACATGATAATACAATCATAATGCTAGATAAACAATGTGCAGCAGACAATATGTTCAATGGGAGTCCTGAGGAGGGAGAGGTTCGGGATAGTTAAGGAAGGGATTCTGGGAGAAATAGAATTTTAGAAAGGATTTAAATCCGTCCTATTTGGGAAGGCAGGGGTGATACTGAAAGCATCTCTATGTGAAGGACAGCATGAGGAAAAGGATGACAATAGAAGCTGAACCTCACAAATAGAATTAGAGCAGGTGGACTGGATAGACTGGTTGGAGAGAGGATAGGGTGGGCAATAGGGTGAACTAGGTTGAGAGAAGATTGTGAAAATGTTTTGAAAAACTATGGATTTGAAAAGGGATAGAAACCACCGAGGACTTGTGATCTCTGAATCCTCCCTCTGGTGGAAGGGATGGGATTCTGGTCTGGACAGTGAGGGCTCCAGATTCGGGCCTGGTGAAGGGAGTAATTAACCTCTGAAGGTGCAAGTGAGACTGAAATTAAGGCAACCAGTTCTCAGTGACTTCAGTCCTCTACAGGTCGACAATCTAAGAAGGCTCTCCATCAGGTGTTCAGTGAAAGCTCATGCAGTAATACCTACTCAGTAAGTCTCTTTCTTCCTTGGAGCAGGGGCTAGTACAGAGGGGCCCTGTTAAAGGAGTATTTTTCTGGGAGCAGTGGAGCACACGATACATTGGAGAAGAACTGAAAGGCTTAGTGGGCTCTGGCTTTAGACAGTTTGGATTCAAATCATGATACCACTTTGTACAGTGTGGTCTGAGTAAACTACTTCATGTCCAGAGAGATTAAACCTCCATTCAGTCAAGTTGTAAAGCAAGATCAGAGTTCTACAAACTCATGGCATGTACAGGCTAAAGATAAAGTATAAAAATGAGGTAGGATAGTGCCTGGGGTCAGTAAATGGTAAAGTATTTTATTTTATTTTATTTTATTTTTTTTAAAGATTTTATTTATTTATTAGTCCGAGAGAGAGAGAGGGAGAGAGAGCAAGCACAGGCAGGCAGAATGGCAGGCAGAGGCAGAGGGAGAAGCAGGCTCCCTGCTGAGCAAGGAGCCCGATGTGGGACTCGATCCCAGGACGCTGGGATCATGACCTGAGCCGAAGGCAGCTGCTTAACCAACTGAGCCACCCAGGCGTCCCTAAAGTATTTTATTTTGTTTTAAGAGGCTGTGGTAAACTAGGCACAGGATGTGGGCAGTGTAATAGATGTGGCAGATCTAAGTAAGATTTCAAATGAGGCATTGACAACACTGGGTGGAAACCTAAACAGGAGAGTACAGATAGTGACCTGCTTGGGCAGAATAATGAGTTTAGTTTTTGACATTCAGAGAAGGTGTCCATAAGCAATCTCAGAAGAGAAGGAGATGGAAGTTTATAGTTTAGGGGTGGAGATGGGGGCTTGGGATTTTTCTGTGTGGACAGATTTCCAAGACCAAGTTTATAGGGAAAAGAGCAGAGGAAAGAGGTGAGACAGAACAGAGAAGAAAAAGGTATCAGTAGAGAGGTCTGAGAAAGTGCCATGGGAAGAGACAAGCCCAATAATGCGATGCTGTGGAAATCAAGAGGACAGAGGATTTAAAAAATTGGAGACCATCCCATGAAGTCACTTTGTTGGGTAAAGCAGAGTTCAGACCTGGCACCGAATCTGACTTGGGAAATAGCATTGATTTCTTTCCTGAGGTCAGTTTCTCGGGAATGGTGAGAGCAGAACAATTTGTAGAAGACTCCTTCATGCATGAACTGATACTGAGTACATACTGTGTGCCAGTTCCTGGATTAGGTAGGATTAAAACAAGAAACAGGAGGAGACTAAAGGCTATGATTTAGATCACATATTCCACGAGTTTGGAAGAGGAAGGATCGTGTATTCTGGGGGATGAAGGGAGTGATTTAAGAGTATGTCCTTGAGATGATTCGGAAATGAAGATTTCAACTAGGTACCAGCAAACTGGCTCAGAGTCTGTGAGCCTCCAAAAATTGGTGGGTTTCTCTGTACATTTCTCCGTACATTTCTCCAGCTCTAAGAAAGGTCTATTTCCATTGGTCTGGATGTTAGCTTTGGGAAGAGGAAAGGATCAGAAAGGAAACCTTTAGGATGGCATGTTGAAGTGGAGGCAGAATTGATGCTCTCAGGCTTACTAAAGACAAGATCTTGGAGGCAGTTCCTTCCACCAGGAGGCAGCTGTGTCTGCTCAGGCAAAGGCTCTACCTCAGGAAAAGGACAATGTTCCTGTTCTGGTTTGCTGTCTCACTCGCTACTTAGGGTGTGGGAGAGGATGGGTGTGGGGAGAAATAACTGAATAGTATGTGGAAATGTAATTGGAAGCAAATTCCACTGCCTCATCTACATGTTCTGATAGTTAGCTGATTGCCTGTAGGCCCACCCATTCATTTCATTAATTTGATAAATATTTGAGTTCCCCTTTTGTATAAGGCCCTCTGGCAGGCATGAAAACAATGAATTCCCATAAGGCACCATTCTTGCTCTCACAGAGCTCAGGAAGCTCTGAAAGAACACCGGTGATCACAGTACTGTGAATGAGGGAAGCACAGACCGGGTAATAGAGGAAAATGGAGAGGGGACATTTTCGCCCGACTGGTGGGGTGAGGGAGAGCTTCTTGAAGAGGGTCACCTGAGTTGTAAAGGGCAGTGGGAGTTGGCAGAATAAAGAAAGGAGTTGAGGGACTTCTGGAACAGCATGCGTACAAAAGCATGAAGTACTTGACCCTTTTGAGTCATGATAGATATTTGGTATTGTTGGCATGAAGTGTGCGGGTGGATAGGTGGTAGGAACCAGGGAAAGCAGGAGGTAGCTCTTCAAGGGTCTGGAATGCTAGGCTTAGGAGTTGAAATGCTCTCCGAAAAGCTGTGTGTGTGTGGAGGGGTCTTGGGAAAAGGGTTGTTGCTGAAGGATTTTAAGTGATAGGCTGAGCTTTAAATTCTAGAACGTTTTCTTGAGCAGTTCTATAAAGGACAGAAAGAGACATTAAGGAGAGAGGACCTACCAGTTATCAAGTTTTCTTACGTTAATGGTTACTGTCTCACATTAGTGGTTACTGTCTCATTAACACCAAACTAAGAAAACAAGCACACTTTAAAAGGCAACCATTTGAGGCAATGATGCAGCACAGACACAGTGCAGACTCTTCAATTTGGCAAAAGTAGCCTCCTCTGGAGTCAAGGAGGCTCCAAGAATTGTCTTTAGCCAAGAGTCAAAGAAGTCTACTCATGCTGGAGCGGACCCAATCCCTAATTTCCATGCTTGGGATCTGCTTACAGCTGAAATTAAATGGCCATATCCACATTAATGCAGTGGCAAAGTGGAAACTTACCACATTGTCTTAAAACAGAAATGTGTTTATATAGTCCACGTGTTAGAGAGTTGGTTTCAGTAACATCAGAGATGTCATTATACAACTATGACTTAGTGAGTAATATCTATAGACTAAGGGAACTTCAAAATAACCTGCTCCAATATTACTAGTTTAGTCAGCATTTTCAGAATTATGAAATTAACTTCACACCAACCATTTATTTTCACTTTTAATAACAAAAGAAACAGTCATTAATAACTGCCTCTATTGCCACAATAAAACAGTCACTGTAATTCATAAGACTAAATGGGAAGAAGGTTGGCTAATTGAACCAATACAATTTTGCTGAATGGAGAAAAAAATTAGCTCACAAATAAGCTATACAGAAATGTTTTAAATAAACAAATGGCTGCTATTTCACAATCCTAGTGTTACATAATTGTTTTCATCATTGAAATTAAATAATATGAAAAAAACCACCAGGAGATATCAAAGATAGGAAGTTTCAGTGAAAATGTTTCAATGTATCAGTGATGTCTTAGGGTCATTGAGAATGCTATTATTGATTTCATTTAAAAAGCAATTTTCAAATCGTATTTTTTTCTAGAAATATTTTTATAAAATCAATTTTGGGGCTTATTGAGCGCTATAGGTTGAATGTTTCTGTCCTCCCAAAATTCATTTTTGAAATCCTAACCCCCATGGTGACGTATTAGGAGGTGGACACATTGGGAGGTGATGTGGCATTAGTACCTTTATGAAAAGACTCCAGAGAAATCCCTTGCCTTTTCTACCATGTAAGGTTACAGGAAGATGATGGTCTCTGAGGAAGTGGTCTTCACCAGACACTGAGTCTACTGGTGTCATGATGTTGGACTTCCCAGTTTCCAAAACTGAGAAATAATATTTGTTGTTTATAAGGCACCCAGTCTCTAATATTTTGTTTCTTTTTCTTGTTAATTTATTCTTATTTAACACCCTTATTGTTACCATTCTTATTGTAAATGGTTTGACAAAATTGTTAGATTCCCTGGTTCACAGAAATTCTGTTCTGACATTAAAATATAACACATATGGATAATTTATACACACAGTTTTCATAATTCTAGACAATGCCATTTATTTTAAAATTAACATTTATAAATGAAAAATGCTTTTCTAAATAGATGAGAACGCTTAAAATAATCTTTTTCTGAATATGTATATAATTTATATTTATAAAATATATATCTCAATTTTCATTATATATTAAATATAATACATATGTTTAGTGTCTATTTTCATTTTACTATAAATGTTTATAGTATATACATTTATACAAATATATTTCAGCATGTTTTCACAGTAAATATATTTTTCTGCACATTTAAAAAATATAACCCTACTTTCTATTTTATTTATTTGGAACATAATTTACCATGTTTGTTTTTCTCCTAGTTAGGCTTTAACAGAAGAAAACTATGTGTAAATGTAGGTGTCATTATTTCCATTTCAGAGATACCAACACTGAGGCCAGAGAGGCTAATTATTTGCCCCAAATTTCACAGCTGGCAGGTGGACAAAGTAGAGTCAGGTTTTATACCAGACCTGTCTGATTGCGAGCATCCCAGGGTCCATTCTACCATGCCTTGCTACTTCCTATTCGGTTATGGTGAATGCTGCATATACTATTTCAAGCCCTTCAGAATTTCTTTAATTCATTTGCACTCATCATTGCACAAGTGACTTATCCCTTTCTAGTGCCCGCATAAAATAGGGCTCCTTTGTCTTCTGTAAGAACATGCTGCTTTTAGCTGACAGGGATAACGATGCTCTAGGCTAGGGGAAGCTTAACTCAAGGAGAAATGACCATGCAAACTCTGAGTTGGAAGGAGGTGCCAAGAAATCCTCAAAGTAAATCCTAGCAAGATACAGAGAAGGAGATTAGGTTTATGGCATCTGATTCTTGACATCAATCAGGTGAAGTATCAAGATAACAGTACATCCTGGAGTGCCTGGGTGGCTTAGTGGGTTAAAGCCTCTGTCTTCGGTTTGGGTCATGGTCCCAGGGTCCTGGGATCGAGCCCCGAAAGCCTGCTTCCCACTTTCTCTCTGCCTGCTTCTCTGCCTACTTGTGATCTCTGTCTGTCAAATAAATAAGTAAATAAATAAATAAATCTTAAAGAAAAAAAGATAACAGTACATCCCAATCATCTGGCTGTGAGACCTCTGCAAAAGACAGATTCTGATTAGATAAGTAGAAAATTTAACTTATTTAAACATTTCTTCTTTAGTTTGAAAAATACCTGATGGAGTTCAGTTGGTCCTGCCTTCACTTCTTACAAATTTAGAACTGCTAGACTGTAGCATATAAAGAGAAAATTATAACTATGAGCCTCTATTCTGTGAAGGTGGCCAACATTCAAAATTTGGAGTTACTCGCCTCAATAATTGTGATATGACCTGTTTGATTCACATCATTAGAAATCTTCTAAGTAAAGCATGATCAAAGATTAAAGACCATCAATCATTACACTGACTTCATTTTCAATTACCATTCTGCCTAAATTATTTGAAAGGGTCATAAAGAGATGTTACATTTAGTCAAAGTGCTCTCAAACTAATGGATACAATATAGAGAAGAGCTATGAAAAACTGGGAATAATTATGACTTATAATGTTAACTTTTATCTGAAATATCACAATCTTGCTTTCTCGTCACATCTGAGAAGACCTTGTTTTGTTTTGTTGTTGTTTTTTTCATTCTTTTTTCCTTCCTTACTTCTTACAGAAGAGAATCATTGAATTTTACTAATGAAAGTGATCATCTACGCTACTTGGTCATTTTCCAGATGAGAAAATTGAACCCTAAAGAGGTTGTCTTCACACGTTATGAATGTTAACCTCTTGACCTTCTGAACCTTGTTAAAAGGATTCAGGTCATTTATGAAAAAAGATAGCAGATAACCCTAGCCCATTGCATCTTCCTTAGAACACAAGAACAAGAGAAAAAAGACATTATCCATTTCTGAAAGTTTAATTCTAGGGGCCTTTCTTTTCATGTCAGATAGGACAAGTTTAGTTATTTATATGATTAGAGAGAAGAATTAAATTATATTTGGTAAGTTAGATATATGTATTGTTCAGATATTTTATTTTTATAAGTTTTCTTTAAAAATATTTATATACTAATGTTACATGATAAGTAATTAACTTTATAAAGAGGATCATCAAGGAATAAAATAATTAAATGTTAATGTTGGAATAAACATCTTCTTTAATATATTAAGTCAAAATACTTAAAAATTTAGTAATTTTGTGGTTAAGATACAATATATTTTCTAAAATTATTTCATTTGACTTTTTTCCACAATTTAATTTCTTTCTTTTTCCGGGCCAATTAAGTTTTTTACCTTGCTGATATGCCAAGTCCTCTTACTCTGTATTTATATAGCAACACATGCTAGATAAAGTGTTAGATAAGTATTAATATGCCTATTATTGAGTAAATATTGTTCTTATTAAGAATGATAGAATTTTAAAAAATTCTTAGCACTTTATTGAAAGCTGTTCTACTTTCCCTATAGTACTCCAACTTGACAACTTTAGAGAGTCCTTCTGAGGCAATTATCAGGAAGAGAATTATAATAAGTTGTTTTCTGAAAATGCTGAGAGTTTCTGAGCTCTTTCCTCCTAAGCTCCTGAGAAGTAGTAAAAGACATGGATTGGGAAAAGGGAATGCTATATATTAAATTCAATAATGGCACAAACATTTCTGCCTTAATTCACAAACGTGGCAGGTTAGGCAAATCATAATTAAGCGCAAAAGCCTATTCCCACGTATGGAAATTTTTGTGAATTTTAAGAACATGAGGGAATCTGTATCTATATCTATATTTTAGTTAAGTAGTTTAGAGAGCAGAGAGTTTAGAGAGCAGACCCTTATCCTTGAAGTTCCATCTTCATGAACTAATTTCTACAATTAAAGTATTGTTTCTGTGAGCACACTTCCTAGAAGAGAAACAATTTTTAGAGGATCATTTCTCTTTTCAAAATAAGCCCCCAGGAAGCCTAAAAAAGCCCTTAGAAGAAAAATCTAAGGTCTTTTTCTCCTTCCTGGCATGAAAAAGGAGCACCTCTTAGTTGTCCAGGCTGGTTGGAAATAGAGCCGAATAACTCAATTCTCCGGTGTATTTAAAAATATACAGAAAGCTCTCTGTTGAATTTTTAAAAATGAGCTCTTACACGTTAAGATTACATACCATGCAAGTAAAATTAAATAAAAAATTGGAGACAAAATAATCAAAGCAGGAAAATACATACCTGGCTTCATTCTGAACGATCAACCAAGATATGTCTTACTACGATATCATTTTTCTGTCTTCCATTTTAGCACTGAAAATAAAATCCTGTGGCATCCAAATTCCTAAACTTGGCAGGGTTAAGCTCTATCACCAGAAGATACACGTGCTGTTATTATAGCGGAAAACAAATGCAAACCTGTCCTTTCATCACCCACGCCTCTGGGAGGTATTTACATTCCGAAGTGAGAAGAGAAAGAACAGATTACCTGACACGCAGAGGTAATACCTGTCCTGGACTGAGAACTCGATTTCAATAAACTCGTACAGATGCTGCGAGAGTGGCTTAAACAGTTTCTTCTCCAAGTCCTCCTTCACCAATGATGACATTTCCTCCGGGTCCACTTGGCCTGATGTCTTGGCTCAAGATCACCCTCGCTCGCCTTTTGCTCCCTAGATTTCCTGCTGGGCTTTGCGCCTCCCAGCCCTCACTCCCTTTAACTTCTCATTCGCAGTCAGACCCGGGCTCCGCAGAGCGGTCGGCGCGCGCGGTCGGACCCCTCACTGCGCTGCGTGCCCAGTGGCAGCGGCCAAAAAGGCGGCGGCAACACCCGCCCCACCGTCACTCCTCAGCATCCAGGCTCAAGGAGGCTGCTCTCTGGAGCTCTCCTGTGGTTTGCTGATGGGGATCACAATTCTGAACACCGGCAGCTCTACTTGTGGAGTCCCTTGGTTATTCTAGTCTATAGCCTTTTCCCTTTCGCGCCGCTCTGCAGAGGAAGACCACTGCTTCGGCTTGATTCCATTATATAAACCAGCTGTCTGGTTCTATTGATTGGGATCATCTTCCATTAAGAACTTTGCTATCATTGGCCAGAGACAGCTCGCTGGCGACACTTCCAAAAAGTATCTTGCCCTCCTTCTTTCCCCTCCGGCAACTCATCAGACCTTTGCTTCTGTGAAAGTCAGCACCAATTCCTGGGTCCGAATTATTGTTTAAATGGGCTCCCTTTGATGTTGTTTATGCTCCTGCTCACAAAGAAAAAATGTAGTAGGTATCTACCAGGGCAAATCTTTCTATTTGTTTCTTGAGAGGGTGAGTCTTCTATCCCCAAGGAGTTTATGATCTGATAGAGAGGAGTACACCATAATAATTAGCGTGAGTGTTTGAAAGTGATATGTGGCACAAAAGAAAAGGGAACGAATGGAGAAGATATTTGTACCTGAAAAGTATCAGAGGAAGTGCTGTAGGAGAAGGTCTATCTGGAGCTTGAAGAATGAGTGAAAAGTATCCAGGTTGGGAGGGGGTGGGGGTCGGGGAGAGGGAAGGAGCCTATTCCACAGACAGACTCTGTGATCCAAAGGCCTTCATCAGAAAACTCAGGGGGCCTTTGGGAGGAGAGGAAGTAGTCTGTTTTCCTGAGTGGTAGCCTGCGTGAAAAGTAAAAGATAAGACTGGAAAGGTAGACTGGGGCCAGATCAGAAAGGGCCTTGAATGCCAGATTAACCCTTTGGACTATACTCTGTAGAAGTAGAGAGCCAGTGAAGATTTGGGGCATTCATTATTCATTCATTCAACAAATATTTCTCAAGGGTTGATTTTTGTGCCAGGGAATACACAATGAAAAAGATAGGTCAATTCCTTGCTCCTGTAGAGCTTAGAGGGGTAAAGCGAAAATAAAGAAATGAAACAGTGACCATTCAGGACGCACTAGCTGCAAGTAACAGAACACGTGACATAAAGTTGTACGGAGGAAAGACTTCAAACTCTCATAATAAAAGGTCTGCAAGGAGACAGTTTCAAGATCAGCTCAGGGCTCATAGATGAGGGTCCTAAGTGCTTTGATTCTTCCAGCCCTCAGCTGTTGGCTTTTTGTCCTTAGGCTGTTGTCATTTAGCTCCAAGGACAGGAAGACAGGGTGTCAGGGATTGGTAACTTTTTGATTTCTTTTTATGTCAGAAGCAAACTCTTTCTCAGAAAGCAGCCAGAGACTTCCCTTTATAGTGCGATGGCCCAAACTGGGTCACATGGCCATCCTAGGAAATAAGTATATGTTATTTTTGGTTCCTACCACAGGAAAGGGGATTTTCTAACAAGGAAGAAGAGGCCGGGAATGACCGTAAGCAGTCAATAAATAGTGTTCCATGGCTTCCATATTAGCTGCTCTAGAGAAAAATTAATGGCATGGCTGTGGCTAGGCCAAATTGTGGGGTCCTGGGTGAGACATTTGTCTTTCTGATCCTCAGTTTCCCCATCTGAAGAATGATCTTTAGGGTCCTTTCTTACTTTAATATCTCCTATTCGGGAGTCTAGTAAAAGAATTTGGGTAGAGTACCAGAGAACTAGTACTATGTTTTCAAATACGGAAATGGAGAAGGTGGGTGCCTGGGTGGTTCTGTTGATTAAGCATCTGACTCTTAGGTTCCGCTTAGGTCATGATCTCAGGGTTGTGAAATTGAGCCCCACATCAGGCTCCACACTACGTGTGGAGCCTATTTAAGGTTCTTTGTCTTGTTCTCCCTCTGTCCCTCTCACTCTCTCTCTCCCTTCTCTTAAAAAAAAAAAAGGAGAAGGGGCATGAATAGAAGATATATTGGGATGATAAAATCAACATACCATGGTACTTAATTAGATGTGAAAGGTGGAAGGTAAAAGCAATATGACACAGCAGCTTTCCATTTACACTAAGGGAATGAGATAATGGATCCACATTACAAGAGAGAGATTTTCAGAGAAAATATTATTTCCAGCTTTTACGCTTGAAAAGTTATTTCCTGGGTGTTTTAGTCCTCTTATGGAGATGTATGACAGTCAGAACGCTCATCAACACCGTCGTCATTGAAATTTAATGAGATACTTATTTATGTGATTTTTAAAAATGTTTTTCTCTCCTGCTGGACTTAAGTTTTATGAGGTCAGGAACCATGTTTTTTCTCCTGACCATACAATCAGGCTATGTGATATGCAGTGTCTAGCACAACCTCAATGTTCTTGCATTCATTTATTCACTCACTTTATCTGTAAATATTTACAAAAAGAATAAATCAGTGAATCAAACAGTCTTACAATGACTTTCTTCCTTTTTTGCACAGCCGATTTTGCAATTATATATCCTCATAGCTGGACTCGACAGTTATCAGTCTTACCAATGACTTACTCTGTATCAATATCCATTTGCTCTTATTGCCATGAATGCACACACTTCAGTTGTGAGAGTCTCAACTGCACTTCTGAAGGAAATTGCTACAATCTTCTCTGAAAGTTCATAAGTGAAGAGTGGCTATGTATTGTGGTATGGTCTTAAGTAATGTTGAAAGTAGAGATTCAGGAACTGACAGAGTGACCTTTTAGTTCTGAATTGAAATGTTTGCTGTCAACAAGTGTGTTCAGGAACAATTTGCAAGTTGGTTTCAATATTCTTATTGTATTGATTTGTTTGAAAGTCCAGGGGAAAAGTCATATTAAAGTGCTAATAAGTGTCTTTTTTGAGATTCTAATTCATTCTATGAGGCCAATCCATCAAAACATTATCTAAGTTATAAAGAATCAAAGGATTCAACCTTAAGAAAATAACAAATGGCGATTCATCATAAAAAGGGAAACAAGGAAACTCTCTAGATATCCTAATTTCTTTGTCAATTGAAAGGAATACAGTACTAAACCTTTAGAAACTAACATCAATGGAAGAGGTTATAGAGAAATAACAAATAGACCCCCCAAAATGTTCACTAAGATATTTAAGAGAACTATAATGGGTTCCTGGCTGGCTTAGTCGGTAGAACATGTGGCTCTTGATCGTGGGGTGATGAGTTCAAGTCCCATGCTGGGTGTAGAGAGTACTTAAAAAAAATTTTTTTAAAGATATTTAATGGAGCTATAAAAACATTCTTTCCTCATGGCCAGCAATTATTCTAGTCTGTAAATCTATTTTTTTAAATCCTACAGAATTGTGAATGGGGATGATGATGGGAAAACCATTGGAAAAAATGATGTTTTTTGGAAACCCTTATATTTAAAACTCCATCATCCCCTAAATGTATTTCCTACAGGGAAGCAACATTAAAAAAAAAAAAAAAAGATTTATTTATTTATTTTAGAGAGAAGGAGAGTGAGTCGGGGGGAGGGCAGGGGCAGAGGGAGAAGGAGAGAGAATCCCAAACAGACTCCATGGTGAACACAGAGCCTGATGGAGGGCCTGATTCCATGACCCTGAGATCATGACCCAAACTGAAATCAAGAGTCTGATACACAACCTACTGAGTGACACAGGTGTCCTTAGAGAAGGAAATTTTAATACCTACTGTTTCATTAAGAGGTCCAGCCAGTCCACCATCCTGGGTAAAATAATGAAACTTATATCTATATAGATTAGCCCAGCTGCTATACAGGGGGGTAAATTACTCAGAAGAAAAGGCCTCCTTGTGAGTCCTTAAGACTCACAGATTAATTAACTTTTGTTTTAATTGGGGGAAGTGAAGCCTGGATTCTACACAATCAACAACTAGAAGAGTGGACTATAATTTCTAAGTCTATAAACCGTCTGGATCTATTTTATTCTCATAGTTTTTTCCCCAGATATCAAGGAACTATTTTTCTTTCAATTTTCAGTTTCGGAGTGTTGCTGTAATCACTTCCCAACCTAGACTGTAAAAATTTTACATTCTCTTGCAACCACAGAATAATTTATTTGCTTAAGGTACCTAGGAGTAAGTGTCCTACCTGTGCATAATAACAGGATTATAATGTGTACAAGAGATAACATTATTCTCTCTTTTGCATGTTCACAAATTATGGGAGTGTAGGCTTACACAGAGCTCAGGGTTAAGAGTAATTGTTCCCTGGATTTAAAGAGTTGGCTTAACTGAGAGGTTGTGGACCAAAGTTCTGCTCTTCTCAAGTCTGCTCTGAAGGTGCATGAGGAAGTGGTGGTAAACACTGTGAATACAGGCTAGTTCCCAACTGTGTCTTCTTTCTAGACCCACACTCTGAGGCCTTTTGTTTAAGCAAAAGGCTGTGGTTGTGTATGCCCTCATATCACTAAGTCCTGGAACGTCCTCCAAGAGAGAAGAGAAAATATTTATCAGCACTAATCAATTCGAGACTCTAAGTGTTGGCCATTACAATATACATTGTTTAATTTAGTCTTCCAATAAAGCTAAGAGGTAGGTACATGGTTGTCTCCATTTTCCCTCGGAGGGGACAGTATTCTGTGGAAACATGGTAGTCCCCCCTTAATGCTTGACAAGAAGGGTAATGCATCTCTGTCCCATATTTATTGCTTCTAACTTTGGTAAGAATATCTTATTAATAATATGTTATTGTAACCAAATCTTTTTCATTATGAGAGTCCTGAACATACTTTTAATGTTATTTTACATACATATTGAAA